AGGTGAGGTTTGTGACATGTGAGGTTTGTGAGAGGTGAGGTTTGTGAGAGGTGAGGTTTGTGAGAGGTGAGGTTTGTGAGAGGTGAGGTTTGGGACAGGTGAGGTTTGGGACAGGTGAGGTTTGTGACAGGTGAGGTTTGTGACAGGTGAGGTTTGTGACTGGTGAGGTTTGTAACAGGTGAGGTTTGGGACAGGTGAGGTTTGTGACAGGTTTGTAACAGGTGAGGTTTGGGACAGGTGAGGTTTGGGACAGGTTTGTAACAGGTGAGGCTGATTCGTCTGGAAGCAGATGCTCATATGAACCCAAAATAGAAGCTGATATTTCAATTTATTATTATTATTATTATTTAAAGGTATCTAACTATGCATTAATAAACTCTACACTGTTTAACAAATGATGGCGAGAAAAACAAAATATTTAATGTAAGGTCAAATTTTTTTTTTTTTTTTTGGGGGGGGGGGGGGGGGGGGGGGGTGTTGTTGCTTAAAACCAAAAAAAAAACATGTATCTTACCTTTACTTAAAGATGAAATCCATGCTCCTATCCTTCTCCACGAATATCTCCGTTACTCTGTTGTAAAAACTCGATGCGGTTTGCCTTCATTTTTTAAAGTCTGGCTGCTTCAGTGGAGATAATAATGGAGATAATCACCAAGGAGGAGTGTCACCTTCTGTTTCGACTGAGAATCGAGTTTAGAAAAATCCTTTAGTTTTGAGATATGATCATCCATTCGATTTGCTACACCCCTGCTGCCCCTCTGGAACAGAAGAACGCACAGAGACTGTTTCATTGTCCCTATGGGGCAGCACTGCCCCCTATCTGTGAGGTATGGTACTTTCTGCCTCATCCTGTGTATTTTCACTGTGCATTTATGACTGATTAGAAAGAAGAAATATGTCACACACATTCATTCAGTATATTAGACACACTGTAGAACATCAGAGCACACGTGTAATCAAACATTTATATTGGCGATATAAAGAGAGACAGCAATGGGCAACCTACTATTGTACATGACACAGCGCCCCCCATAGGTTAACCAGAGCACTACACTGCCTTTCCCCGCATTTCTTCGATGATTGAACAGGCATAATTTCTGCAATTTTGACCTTTGAAGTGTTGAAATAATTTTAAAAAAACAGTTTTATAAAACAGTTTTATCGAACAGTCAAGTGGTCAAATGTATTTTCTCAGTATTTTACTTGTCATGATGACAGTGTCTCAATTGCCTTTCACACGTCACTGGATTTTGCCCACGTCTGTGTCCAAACTATCTCTAAATATCACTATAAATATCACAACAGGAGTTCCAATGAAACTCTACAACTGTTTTACTTTGTTTTGGAGTCACCCTGATTCAAGATGGCTGCCAAAGCCAACGGAAGTTAAAAACCATGAATATAATCTAACCTATAATCTAGTTTCTGAACCATTTTGGCCTTGGTGTCCTCAGGCTGTTTCTGTGAGTAGCAAGATGGCCATCTGGCCTAAAACATTTGACTGTTCTAATGATGATTGATTGTTTTGGACAGATGGTCCTTTTGCACATGTTAAAAGCTTCTGAGACTCCAACAGGAGATTGTCTTGAAACACAGCAATGAAGGGACAGATCTGGTTGGCAGGCCACAGACTGAAGACGAAACGTTTCTCACTTAAAGAAACTGGTCCAGATGAAATGATTTAACTGTTTTTGTTGTTCATGAATATAATCAAACAAATGAGAGCAAATCATGCAACGCAGCTGTTTACCTATTAAACTATAAAACTGAAAGATACAAATGGTAGGAAGTGGTTTGCATTTCTTCCCATGACTTAAATCTAAAATGAGTTTGTTGCTATTATGAACTCCGTCTTGGATGGTTTTTCTGCCCAAACTGTATAAAAATGTGGGAATCTGTATTTTGTTCCATTTAGTTCCTTGTTTCCTGCACTCCCCAGTGTTTTCACTCCTTGTTGTCAGCTCCTGTCGCACCCGTCTCAAATTCTAATCACCCCAGGTGTTTGTCATTATGTCTCGTTAGTGTTATAAATTCAGCGTCTGTGTTTTTCCGTTGTCCGTGGATTGTGCTAGAGAGCCTGTTCTGTTCTGTTCCCCTCGTCGTTCCTCCCTTCATTTAAGTTTTCGCTGCCCCGACAGCTTTTGCTTTTCTTGTAAATAAATGAGTTCTTTATTTTTACCTCGGAGTCTTTTGTGCCTGCCTGCATGGGTTCAACGTCAACTCACAGAACATGATAAAAAGAAAACACGACAAGACGTGATTTTAAGTGTTTTAATAATTTACAACAACAAACAGAAACAAAATAATACATCTGCAAATAGAAAACAGGTGCTAGCCTGTTTTTATTCATACTTCATCTCTAAAGAAGCTCCTTCCCTTTTCATAAAGAAAGAATGTTGCGGTGTTTGGCAGGAATAATAATCCAAAAGTTCTCGCTCTCACAGACGGAACGGGAAGACTTAGAAATCTGGCCGATCCTTCTTCAGCTTGGAGTAATCCATATTGACAGAGAACAGCTGGACACACCATGGAGGAAAACACACAGAATCAGAGCGGTGTAGGAAAAATGAAGCAGGACTGTAAAGCGTAAGAGAAACACCCAACGTTATGTATGTAACATTTAGACAGAGCTCGTACTTTGTACTGGTGATTGGGTTCTATCTTGTTCCAGGGCTCTGGGTTGTTTGTGTGATCCCATCTGAGGACGACAGAAAAAAAGAGGGAACCTTTTCAAGTGTCTCTTCACACGTCTCGTACCCTCACAGTTATTGTTGCCACACAGGTTTTAAAAGGACAGCTTGATGATTATTTAAGTCATATAACATTATAGAATTAAATCAGTCTGAGAGCACAGAGGATGGAAAAATAGCATTAGTTTCCCTCCGAGCTAGGCTAACAGTTAGCCTAGCGAGGGCCAGTTTTACCATTTTTATCAGGCTTAAAAAACAACTCTTTCTCACAAATGTCATAACGGTGTGAAATAAAGCTAACTTCTAGGTCAGGGGTGCACGATATTATTGGCACGGTATCGGCATTGGACGATATTAGCGTTAAAGTTAAATATTGGACATTGGTCATTCCATCAGAATAACTCATCGATATAAAAGACGCTGTTTTTGTGTGACAACCCAGTGACAAGGACGCCTGCAGCACCAGCACAACGTGATGACGTCACGCGTGCTACCTGATCTGATCACGGTGGAGAGGAAGAAGTCAGAATGTCGGCGGTGTGGAAGTTTTTTTTATTTTATTAAGGATGTCGGATTCTGAAAATTTGTGGACCACATTGAGCCTCGCTACATCGTCCCCAGTCGGAGATATTTTTCCGACTTAACCTTACCAGAGTTACAAGCCGTCATTTCCGACGTCACTGAGAAGCTAATAGCTGATAGCACTTGGGTGAGTTTTACTACAGACATTTGGACGTCGTGTTAGCCCCGTTAGCATGATTAGGCTTACGGCACAATAGACAAAATTTTAAACTTAAAAAGTCTGTTCTTGATGCACAGGAGTGCAGAGGATCCCACACTGCAGCTACGAACCTGGAACAAGCCTCCACAAGTGAAACAGCATCACAGGTGACTAATGCTAATAAATAACATTTAAGACTTTTCATTTAATATAGGTTAAAGTGCTATGTATATCAAATGGTTGTTACTGAATATATGTCACCAGCTCTTGCAGCTCTTGTACAATTTTTGTAGCAAATAAGCCTAAATAAGAGAGAATGCTATGTTCTGACAAAGGAAAGTATTATATTCCCACTGGTACATTTTCATCTTTAAATCACTTCTTGGTCTGCTGCCTTCATACATCTCCTCCTACATGTCTCTGCGTGAGTGCAGCTCCAGCGTGCGCTCTCAGGACATTATTACCTGCAGTGTTCCCTCAGTGAGGACTGAACTTGGCAAAAGGGCCTTCTCCTACTCCGCTCCTGTTTCCTGGAATATCTTGCAAAAAGATCTGAAGCTCTCGACTTTGACCTCTCTAAGTGGCTTTAAACATTTGTAAAGTTCCTGGCAAGAACCAATGCAGACATGTTCCTGTTTTTAGTTTTCTACACCGCCTTATAATCTAGTTGTTGTTTTTTTGTTGCATTTCCTTTTGATTGTCCTTTTGGTTGGCATTTTATTTTAACTTGTAAAAAAAAAAAAACTATATGCATCTTTTATGATTGTCTATTGTTGGCGTTGTTGTCCACTGTTGTCATCATTCTTTGTTAAAAAATTCAGGTCTCTCTTGTAAATGAGTCCCCAAGGCTCAATGGGATTAACTTGTATAAATAAAGGTATGAGTATAAAAGTATCGGTACTGGTTATCGGCCAAATACGCTTTAACATGTCGGCATATTGAATGTCGTCCAAAAAAACAATATCGTGCATCTCTATTACCTAGAATCTAGGTAATTTAGTTAGTTTACATTACCAGACGGATTATAAATTGTAACCAGAACGTTGTTCGATTGAGAAATCAGCAACACACTAAACAAAAAGCTTTTATTGTTGCTAACTTTAGGTTCTTTCACACTGGAACTTTTATATTTTTAAGAATTGTTTCAAATAGCCTTTAGCCTGACTTAGACTTCTGCCTGTTTCTTAATACACGGTGCTTTATGACTGATGTCATGGGTCATATCCATCCACCCATTTTCTTTACCCACTTCTTCCTTTCCGAGTCGAGGGGGGGCTGGTGCCCATCTCCAGCAGTCACTGTGCAAGAGGCGGGATACGCTTTGAACTAGTTCATACAATACTAACTATTCTTAATTTGACATCACCTCAAAAATACCCAAACTACCCCTTTCAAAAAATGCTAATTACCAAAAATCCAGCTGAGGGTCCAAGCAAACGGCTGCGTCAGGTGTCACGGATACTTACGAGACGTCAGGGTTTTTCAGAGCCAGTCTGCCCAGGTACAGCATGCTCATTGTTGCCCCCCCACCGATGAAGACGAAGAGGGGGATCAGCTGTTGAGATAAGACACAAATAATTTTAATCAAATAATCTCACATTAAAAGAACCCCGTCTTAAATAAAGATGGTAATAAGAATGGACGCCACTAAAATAGTCTGCAACAAGAATCAGAGCGGTTCATTTTATTTTTTATGACATCCAGACAAGAGGTGGAAATGCTCAGGTGGGGGGTGGAGATCAGGGGTCCAGATCCACTATCATGAAATATGTCCTACTCCTAATAAATCCTTTTAAGGAAACTACTTTTAAGCAATATAATATGTTTATAAAGTGTATCCATCATTAGGCAACAATGAATGTATGCCTTTTTAATTTATACAACCATTATACATTGTTGTTGTTGGTTTTTTGTTTTTTTTTTTGGGGGGGGGGGGGAGCATTAGAGACCAATTTTATTCAGACAACACCAAGATGTTGTTGATGACGTCACCTGGACTCTTCGGTGTCAGCCCCATTCAGCTGGTACAGGCTTCAAAATCTTCCTTTCAGCCTTAACAGTTTGGGCCAGAGTGCCCCGGCAGAGAGAGGAATGAGGAGATCGCTGCAGATGCTGTTGAAAACTCACCATTTTATACGTACTGGTACTATCATCTTCTTCTTCTTTTGGATTTTACCTCTTCAGGGGTCGCCACAGCGAGTCATCCTCCTCCACCTCACTCTGTCCTCTGCATCCTCTGTCCTCACTCCAACTACCTCCATGTCCTCTCTAACTGCATCCATATATCTCCTCTTTGTCTTTTTCCTAACAGCTGCATTTCTAACGTCCTTCTACCAGTATACCCACTGTCCCTCCTCTGGACATGTCCAGACCATCTCAGTCTGGTCTCTCTAACTTTATCTCCCAGTTGTTCAACCTGTGCAGTACCTCTGATGATCTCATTCTTATCCATCCTTGTCTCTCCTAAGGAGAACCTCAACATCTTCGTTTCTGCCACTTCCAGTTCTGTCTCCTGTCTTTTTGTCCATGTCTCTGTCTCTGTCTCCAGACCAGACAACATAGCTGGACTCACTACTGTCTTGTAAACTTTTCCTTTGACCTTTGCTGTCACCTTTTGAAACAAATCACTCCTGAAACTTCCACTCCATCCTGCCTGGACTCTCTTTTTCACCTCTTTACCACACTCCCCATTTTACTGGATAGTGTATTGTATTTTTCGGACTATAAGGCGCATTAAGCGAAACAAATTCATTTTGACAGATGTTTGAGAGCCATGTACCATATAAAATCAGCTAAGGTCATTAATCACAACCAGAATTAATACTTAAGGTGCACCACATTCACTGCTGGTTTTTGAGAAAATGAACAAATTTTAAATGCGCCTTATAGCCCAAAACATATGGTACTATCATGCATGCAGTTTTTACAGGTACTATCATGCATGCAGT